GCCCCTCAGCCCTCGGCTTCATCTCCTTTCCAGGTCCACTGGAATGGCAACTCTGCTCCCTCGGCTTCAGGAGTCTCCATTCCCCAGTCCACTTGAGTGGTGAACTCAGCCCCTCAGCCCCGGAGGTTCTGTGCTGCCCCCAAGCACGGCAGAGCAGTCTTAAAAGGACGGTTCTACGAGCATGAAGACAAAGTGCAGCACAAAAAGGAGACAGGAAGAGGAAGAGTAATTACAGGAGGGAGACCCCACCCACAGCCGGAGAGTCAGTCCCCAGTCCCGGGACCCCGTAAGACAGAGCAGAACTAACTGCTCCCAGTGTTTCCACGGCTGACGAGCTTCACACGGCCTGACCTCCCCTTCCATCCCTAATCACGTGTGTGGGAGGAGAGGAAATACACTCCCCAACTTCCAAGGACCTTACGTCTTCCTGGAAATCGTAAAAGTACTAATTCATTGTACACTGTAAGCTATATAAAGGACACAAGTGATCATCTTCAGGGTTAGCACTTTTACAATAAAAACTGAATGCTAGCAAGCTCACAGAGAGGAAATAGTGGGGAAATAAAACTACTCAATTACTCCCAAAGAAGGCAGGAGGGACAGAGAGATAAGTAGAGATAAGACAAAACTATGAATAATTGTGTCAACAGACTAAAGAATCCAATTAAAACATAAAAAGCATCAGATTGGATTTTTTAAGCTACCTATGTAGTTGGTATAAAGGACCCATCTCTAAACTATAAGGCACACAAGGTCGAAAGTAAGCATTGTAAGCAGTTATAATGCAAACATGAAACAGAAGAAAAAGCTGGTATAAATTCGCAAAGACTTTAAAGCAAAACCATTAATCAAGGGATAGAGGAATGTAAAGCAGTGACAGTCCCTGAATGGTGAGGCACTCAGCCACCAGCCAATTGCTGGGTGAGTCAGAGCCACTCAGAAGCTTCCTGGAGGAAAGGAACCCCACGGAAGCCCAGCTGAACTCTGGAGCACATGGGATTGCCACGAGCCAGGATCAAGTCCATGTCAACAGGGCTTTGAAAATAATGATATATATAACAATGACAAACATCTACCGACCACGGTCCATTCTTTCCAAAATTCATTTTACATATGACACCAAAACCCAAACCAAATCTTCTAGTGGATTCCAACCCATTGTGACTCTCTAGGAAAGAATAGAACTCCTTAAGATTTCCAAGGTTGTAAATCCTTATGGAAACAGACTGCCTCCGGATTTTCCCTTGGAACCACTGGTGGGTCCGAACTGCTGACCTTGCAGTTAGCAGCCCAAGGAGAACATCACTGGGGTTGGGTTCCTTTATTTGCATGATCTGACCCCCAAAGGAAGAAAGAGAGTCGATTAAGTGAGGGTCTTCATTAGGCAATGCAAGATCCAAAATTCAAAGACAGCCAGAATAATTTGAACCCACCATGCATCTGAGCTACA